GAATGTCTAAAACCAGTTCTTTAGTAGCTCTTTTACAGTTTCTTTAAACAAAGTCTACTTAAAAAGTGGCTCCAAGCTCTCTCTATGACACTTTGAAGGATATTCAGATTTTGGGCAACCTCCATTTGTGTTTGTCTCCCCCCTACACGTCTATGAATTTACCACCACTTTTGCCCTTCAGTTAAGTGAAACTTTTCAGCCAAAACTAATTAATGCTAATCACTATCATAAACCACATTAAACAACACTACACTCTCAAATTCTAATATGTGTTCACTGTGCAACACTAGCATAATATTTCATGAAATAACCTATGTGCAGCACTCCAGTTTAGGATTTAATTTCAGACGACTGACATAAATAATAACACCATTAGATACAGGGTGAAAACATTAACTCAGAGGATTAACCTTTTCAAATTATCTGTTAGTTTTAATGAGCAGTGTAAATACTAATTAAACAAAACATACTGTACAATGTCTTGCATCAACGCATATCTTCAGTTGGTTGTTATATGTACTGAAATTAACCACTTTTAAGATAGGATAAAAATACAGTCAATTGACAATTTATTCTAGATTTTGTTTTCTGCATGAAATTCCATAAGAATTTGTGCAAGAGAAGGCCAATTTACTGGAATTATTTGTTTTTGCTTGAATATTAAATAAAAAATGTTATCTAAGTTGGAAGGGAGGAAACCATCTTTTTAAATTACACTAAAATATTACATTCCTTTTAATAATTTAAGTAGCTGTTGTGAGTAATTCAAGCTAATCAGTTCTACCACTATAAAAAATGCAAGATGGAGAGAAATACAGAAATTGTTTTATATTTTATTTTATGTTTAAACAACATAAAATAGGAAACTAACGATGTTCTGTCCTTATTATAATCTTTTGTTGGATTTTTAATGCTAGCTTATCAATTATCAGGCAATTATGGCTCATAGGAAAGTCTCAGCACCTCAGTAAGTCAATCTAACTTTGCACTAAATTTCAATATTTGATTTTAATAGATATATATGCAAGGTAAAAAATGTGTAAATGAAAATTATAATTTAAACTAATGGTAACCCCTTAATTTTCCCTCTTTATTCCAAAAATTGCAATAACTTCCCTGGATTGCACCATTTCTAAATCAAACCATTAGGATTACTGTACCAAGCAAATTGTGGCCACAAATGTCAATTTAAATAAAAATGGAATTTAAACTGTCTCAACTGCCTGGCTTCCCTCTTAAATATGGATCTACATTCTATGCTAAACAGCACTGCTACATTTTTGCCTCTTTTTTATCACAATTAGGAAGTTCATCTTTTTTATTACATCTAAATACACACACACACATAATACAATAGATTCATAATTTAAAATAATCTAAAGCACATGATTCGAAACTTTTTGTATGAAATGCTGCAATTTAACACAAAATTCAAACAGCCAGGATTATATGCAACTAATATAGAATTCTGCAGATCAAGTGATCAATAATTTTGTTGTTGTGCTCAATAATACATCATAATCCTGTACCCTCAGTCACAGAAAGTGTTTCCAGTTGCAGAAGTTTCAAATTATAAGAAATATTCTATAAGAAAGTAACTTCTCACATCCTTTAGATACAAGAAGAATGGGAGAGATATTTGACAGGATGCTTCGGAAATGATAAGCTAAACAAGGCTGCCGGATTAAAATCTTAAATAAAAACCAGAAGAAAATTAGAATAAATTAAAACATATTTTTGTTACTCATATCACACTGAAATCATCAAATCTAGATAATTTGGGCCTTTACCATTGAAAGGAAAAGTATCTACTGCACAAAATTTCATCAAATGTAAAATTTATTTTCTGAAGATAATATTTTTACTCGAAAACAAGGCTCTTCAGACATACAACATTTATTAGAGTTTAGGATAAATTTTATGAAACAAAAATGTAGGTGACTAGTTATTTTATTTTGCATTAATTCTAAGAATGATGATCTTCATCATCATTTATTACCTTCCCTTCAGAATTTAATTAACCCTTTGTTCCATCATGTCTACTCTAGTGGACAAAAGTTTAAATTTGTTTATTCTTCTGTAAATGCCTTTACAGATTCCATTCCTGTGTTTATTCATTCTATATTATTAGGACTTTCAACTGTCGATCATAGATGGCTGTATAGCATCACTAAGTAAAGCATTGCTATTTGGAAAATGGCTGCTACTTCTGTTTCCAAGTTAGTACAATTTCTCATAGTAAACATTATATAATATTGCTTACATTTTCTTATACTGCCTTTTTCTATTCATAATTAGTAATTTTAGACATTTTATTTTAAATGTCAGTTTGAGAAAATTGTGGAGTGGGTAGATAAAGATCTACCGAAAAGAGTGAATTGAAACCCAAATGCACTGCTTATCAAGCCGAAACACCACTGGACATGTTTATGTTTAACAAGGAATTTCTAGAACATTTGACATTTGAATCCAATACAAATACATGATACCAATTCAGTATAAATCCAATACAATACCGATACAGTTACAAAATCGTAGCGAAATGAATTCAATGACAATCGATGAAATTAAGGTATTTTAAGGGATCTGTATGTACATGTCAGTTGTAGATTTACCATTTAGAAGACGGTAATGATCACTGCAAACAAGGCAGGAAATGATTTCAAATACAATGACCCTAAATCGTTGGGAAGAGACTTGTATGCATGTACGTATACGCATGCTGTCTATTGTAGTGAACAATTATTTAAAACGAAATTTGAATAAAATTCATTTTTTTTATTATTACTAAGGTTATTTTAAGTAGAAAAAATGCAAACATTTTCGTTTAACTTCTCTAGATCATTTGTATGCAACAAAGGATTAATACTACTGTTAACTGTGGCTCAAAGACAAAGGAAAGATAAAGTTAACAATGCGCTGTTATCTATCTGTTATGAAACATATCAATATAGTGGATGCAGGACTATATTAAAATCACTAAATTGAAATCAGCCAGCTCAATTAGGGAGCCAGTCATATAGTCAGTGAAAGGATTGTGCAATGCTTGCTTCAACATATGGGCTTCGGGAGCCATGGACCCATGAGAGTACCATTGCTCAATGCATGCCATCGAGCTGCAAGTCTTGCCAAGGCTAAAGACACAGATAATGGACTCTAAAGAACTGCAAACGAATAGCATGGAGTGATGAGTATCGATTCTGACTACTACACACCAACGGGAAGCTGAGGTAATGGCATGATGAAGCCAAGGATCCTGCACACGCTAGGTTGAAACTGTACAAGGCCATAGAGACTTGGTCATAACCTGGAGTGTTTTCTCTTAACAGAGTTTGCAATCTTTGGTACATTTACCAATCTCCCTCAAAATGATTTGGTATGTAGAGTTTCTGAGCGATCACCTTCATCCATTTATGTCGTCCTGTCAATCCCGTGGAAATGAAATATTCCAGAAAGTTTACTGCATCTCTCACAGATCCCAGTTGGCTACTGTCGGGTTCGATGACCATTCCTCTGATTTCTCTGTCATGAACTGGCTACCTAAAATCTCTGATTTAAATCCCACTGAGTTCCTTTCAGTTGTTTTGGAGAAAGGCGTAAAACCACATCACATAACACTACCAACCCTTCCTGAATTCAACCCTTCCACAGTTCTATACGATGTTTGACAAGAGATTCCCGTAGAATACTTCTGCAAGCTTATTGAATCTATACCTCATCGAGTGGCAGCTATTATCAAGGCCAAAGGAGGCCCAAATCATTATTAACTTGCTATCTCTAATTCAGTGTATAATTAGTTACAGTTTAGATGGTGTTCATATGTGTGGTTAACAGTGTTTATGTAAATTAATTAACAGTAATTAACTTAAACAGTGTAATTACTCTATGTAATACAATAATTAAACTCTCTCTTCTCATTCTGAAATATCATTTATCAAAACATTTGTTTATGAGACCTTATCAAACTTTGAAATAAATACACAACAACAAAAAAAAAAAAAAAAAGGAAATTATATTTTCAAATAAATAATGTAGTTAATTTCTTTATTTATCTTAGAACTGTTTCATTCTTCCATTTTTTATAATTCCTTCAGATTTTCACAACACTATCAAGAAGCTTCGGATAGGTAAATTTCATTACTTGCTTTCATAGTATTTGATTTAATAACTTAGGATATAAGACAAATATGTGTATATGATTATGGCAAAGCCTTGAGGGTTATCTGCCTAAAGGGAAGGATGACCTTTATGGAGGATTTTCTAAGGAAAACTGGCTCATATACACATTACACATGGGGAAAAACAAAAACGCCCATGCAGCTAGCCCGTTTGCAGAATTCGAACCTCGGACTGAACTACCAGTATTCAGTGACTTACCACTTATAAGACAAATGGCATTACTTCCTCATATTATAATACAAATAAAAATAAAAGTGAATACATTCCATGGCTGATTTCTAGGATTATAAATTAGGTACATAAGCCACTGGGGGTTATCTGCAAATCAGATTTGAATTTTATTAGCATCGCTCCTGGAAAGACAAATAAATAAATATGATTCACTGTTAACAATGCTGCATAGGGGATAAGATTTATGTGGCAGAGAGATATCTCCACATAAAGAAATAGCTTTTGTGGAGGATTATAAAAAAGTGTATGTATTACCATTTACATGATTTTAATATGAAAAAAAAAAAAAAAAAAAATCCAGTAAAATTGGGCAATATTTTTCATTTTGTCAGGATACAAAATCCATTGACAGAACATAATAATAATTTAATCCAACATATTTAAAAATATATTATGTATAAGATATACTAGAATTCACATAAAAAAGATTTTCAGGCATAAAACAAAAGACTGTTTAAATTGTTTCAGTTTAAAAACTTGAAAAGTTCAAATAAGCTTATAATAGCTTTTAAATATAAGATCAGAAGCAACACCTTTTATATTATTATAAGCATTAAACCTTTAAGAGAAAAACAATTATGCGTAATTACCTGACTTGAAGAACTACTGCTTTTATCACATATATAAGTCGTTCCATTTTTTGTACCATCATTATCATCATCATCATCATCACTCTTATTCTTCTTCATCGTCACCAAACCAATCAAATCAGTTGTTTCTTTAGATGCAGCATATATTTCCTAAAAAGAAAAATTTTATGTTTCAAGAGTTAAAAGAAGGGTACTTTCTGACTATATGTGCTTCTTCTACCTAAAAGTCACAATTTCATTGCTGATTTTAAGAGAGCATTAATAAACTCACTGACAATTACCTTTTTGCTAAGGTGTGCCACATTAAAAATGGTGGCATACTAAGAATTCCATATAAGAGCAATAAAATGAAAAAAGAAAAAAAATATTCGAGAAATCCACCTCTTTCTCTTAGTCTCCTCAAAGTGATCTGATTTTGCATTAAAAGAAAAACAAAATCAGAAAATTGCATAAACTCGGCATCTATCAACTTTGTCATTGCATACTGAAAAAAGCAAACATGTGCTATGTGCATACCAGGGTTCCCATGCTATACTTTTTGCCAACATTACAGACCATCACATAACTAATTTAGTGATATATTGCTTTCACTCATGAATATTTTTATTACTTTTTGGTGCAGGTGTGGATAGTTAGAAAATAAAAAAAAAGAGGGGGATTTAAAAAAGTAAAAGATTTTAGCAGCAGATGCTTCTAAAAATCAAATGCTATGCAAATATTTATTAGATTTTTAAATTAATTAAAATTAAATGAAATTAATTAAATTTTTAAATTAATTAAAATGAAATGAAAAAGAAATTAATTAAAATCATTTTAAGATTACAGAATTTTATAATGCTACACATTCCTTCATATTAAAAGTGTGTATAATTCTCAAAGTCATGAATGCCAAACAAATACACAACAAAAAAAAAGGAAATTATATTTTCAAATAAATAATGTAGTTAATTTCTTTAATATTTATCTTAGAACTGTTTTATTCTTCCATTTTTTTATAATTCCTTCAGATTTTCACAACACTATCAAGAAGCTTTGGATATGTAAATTTCATTACTTGCTTTCATAGTATTTGATTTAATAACTTAGGATATAAGACAAATATGTGTGTATATGATTATGGCAAAGCCTTGAGGGTTATCTGCCTAAAGGGAAGGATGACTTTATGGACATATACCTATACATAAAGGGCAATGTGTCGAAATTTGAAGGTCATCACAGATTTCTGAGGACATGTGCCCACTGAGCATATACATAGAAAACATGACACTTTTATGAAAGGAAAAGGTTTACTGGTTCTAAGAGACTAAACTTCCAAACCTTTAAAAATAAATAGTGTTAAAACCAGAAACAGTTAAAAAAAAAGAAAGATAGAAAAAACTATGGTGGAACTATTCATTATACTTACTCTCCTTGTTCTTAGAAAAGTTAATTATTTCACCGTCAAACCCATAAATGACAGCTGCCAAAATGCAAGAACTCCTTAGCAAAATTGGACTTGTAGTGGTTGAACTCTCGGGGAAACTGAAGATGAATATGGTAGTTTTAAACTCTATATCTTATGGTCTATACTCTGTATGAAATGATCCTGTTTTGAATTTTGAAATCAAATCTTTCACAAAACTAGGTATTTAAAACAGTGATCCAAACTGCTTCTCAACTGTTGGCTGAGTGTTATTCCAGGTCCCCCAGCTTCCTGATTTGAAACTTAAGTCACAAGTCCTTTCCAGCTTCCTGATTTGAAACTTAAGTCACAAGTCCTTTCCAGCTTCCTGATTTGAAACTTAAGTCACAAGTCCTTTCCCTTTCCCTGCCATTCAAACTGCAGCAGAAATTTTCATTACTGAAGTTTTATATCAGGATATCATCTTAAAATTCAGGAAGTATCAACATGCTTCCTGAATTTTACAGACACAAATGTGTCTCCTCCTTCTGTTATTTCCACAAAAAAATTCTGTGTCAGGCAAAAACAGCAGGCTCTAACTGAGAATTGTTTTAGACAGCAGGAAAAGGCTTTTGAGCTGAATGTCATTATATCCATTCCATATCAAAGAATAATTAATATTCAAATAAGAGATACTTGATTAATATATAACATTATTGTGAAACCAAAGCTATATATAATTTTCTTGGCATATAGCTTTATTGTGGAGATATTAAAACTGAAGATTTCACGGTGTTATTTTCACTCAGTAAAATATTTTGCCCATGTTGTAGAACACCATGTACTGTACAGCTTGAATATTTTATAATATAAAATAAATTGAAAAGAATAATGAAATTGCTAATAAAGGGGGAATATTTACCAATTAATTTTGCATCACTGAGACAAGATTTCTGCACAATTTTCAATCCAATATAAAGAGATGGAATTTAAATCACAAAATTTTCTGCTTTTATGATTGTCAGAAAAATTAATTCTTTTTCTTTCATAAAAATATACAAGATGCTGTAATCCAATATGGGTCAGGAAAAGAGGAATATGTGACCCTTGGATAACAAACACTCCCTAGGGATTATATACCCTTGATTAAAATTAAAATGAATTTGGATATATTATCACTCCTTAGCACTTAGTGACACTGACAGATATGAATGACATATCACAGCACAAATGCACCTATACATATTTTTATGAAACCTGCTCATGTGACTAATGTCAGGACTCAGGATAAGCTCTTTGATATGAATTTTAGTTTTTATCTTGCTCTTTTAGTGCAGTATAAAATACTGAAAAATCATCTAAAGATTGCATTAACTTAGATATAGCAAAAACTGCAAATCCATGATTTTTACTTGGGGCCAGCAATACATAAATAAGATGCCAGAGCTGCCAACTTTGATATGAAAACTGAGGAAATTCTCACATGAAAAACTGGGAGTTTCAAGGAGGCTTTTGTGCTGCACAATGGTACCATTTCAAAAGAAATGTTAAAATTTGCTTCATAATGCATGATTCAGGTTATTCATCTATTTATAATTATGATGTAAAATATATTAATATTTAACTAAATATTCTAAGTCTCATATATTTATAATCTTTTGCTAACTTTATATTTTTTTTTAAACTTTTATATTGAAAAAATGCTGAGTAGGGAAGAAAAGCTTTAAATTATCAAAGTACTTTTAAACATGATGAAACTAAAATGAATAGGTAATGTAAACACTACTGTGCAAACAAACATAGTAACACTGGCATAAGACAAATTAAATACAAATGTTAACTGATTGAACATTAGTTGATTAATCATATAAATTTCAGCAAATGTCTGCAGTGGTTTAAAACAATTAAGTCAAATAAAATTTAATAAGAAAAATTATGCTGAAAATCACTAAGGTTTGTGGGGTAAAACTTGTACAACTTAAATTTCATTAAATCAGTAAATTTCATTTGTTGCTCAAAAACACTTTCCTTAGCAAAGCTAAAAATTAAAAACTGGGAGATCTGATGATTTAGCAGAAAATTGGGAGAGTTGGCAGCCATGGCATTCCATCAAAAATACTAGAATAAACTTTCGCAACGCTAAGGAAGAAAATAAAAATTCATTCATAAATCATACTTTAACAGAAAATTTTTTTATTTTGATTTAATATTAATTCTTAGGCAGATCATAATTTAAAACAGACTATTTTAATTTATTTTAGAAATTTTCTTATTTTTTTAAAGTTTGAGATCAAAAATGCAAAATTTATTCGTAAGCCAGTGAGGATACCTTTCATATGAAAGAAATATCAAAACATACCTCCAGTTCTTGTAGACTAGTTGCAGTTTCCCATGTTTTATCATTCCTTATGCGGGTAACTCGAGGGAAGCGGATAGAAATTCCATTAGCAGTATGAACTTCTGCTTTGGAAAATTCATCACCAGTTATTTCCCAAACTGGAGACTTCTAAAAATACCATAATAAGGAAATCAGAATATTGAATAGTACTTAACAAATTTTTATAGGATTTTACAAAGAGAAGCAATGCATAAAAGAACCAGAATACTGAAAATAGCACTTTATAAACTTTTATAAAACTAAGGGGCTAACTTTAACTAAGAGAATCTTTTTTTACAGACAAAAAATGAAACATAATGCAATAAGAAAAATAATTACCAAAAATATATATACAACTTTAATGCTCAAAGTTTCATTAATTTGGGGCCATAAAGGTAAAGCATGCAATTTCAGCAATAAATTCACTTCAGATCAACAGATAATATTAATTTTGCATCAAATTCAGCATTGCTTTGATGATGCATTAAATGAGTTAACTGAACATTCTTCTCTACTCTATAGATCTATTGATAAAGTGTTAAAATGAAAGAAATGCTGTGAAAACATGATTAAAATGAATATTGAGATTCTGAGCTTTCAGCAACGATCTGGTCACTTAATTTAGTTAACATTATTAGTAAATATTACTCTTAAATATGCAAATTAACTATAATTGGTTTACTACTTACTTGAACTTCTAGGAAAGAACAAAAAAACCACAATATAGGAGTTTTGTTTTAAAATTCAAAATAATTTGGATTTAATTTTTTCTCGCATAATTATATAAAAATGACATATTTTTGGTTCCAATGCATATTTTACAAAATTTTCATTAAATATCATGATTATTATTTTTTTTTTTAATTCTGAAAATTAAATACAATAAAACCTCTGTTAACCAGATCTCTATGGATAGAGGACTACTAATCAAGCCAACAATCAATTTAAAGAAATAATTTGGAAATATAGTAACATTGATATAGGTGCATCAAAATCTTTAGGCCTTTCTTATCAGCAGTACATTATTTAACAGTCTTCCATTTGTGCATTAGAATAAAAAATATGGTTTATATATTTTAAAAATGAAAGCAATGTTGACTGACATTAATTTGTAGACATGCTTCAAAGCATAAAAGGATGATATTTTGGAATGGATAAATATAGGAAACACAGAACCAAATTCTCAAGTTTTTAGCAATAGGAAAAATACTTGCAGTATAGATCTGGAGAAAAATAAAAATGTCAGTGATGCTGAAAATGATATTGAAATTAAAAAGTGGCAGCTAGCCATGCTGAAGTCTTGACTTACAAGTATTTTTATTATCGCAAAGTGCATGAGGGCTCTTTGCCTAAAGGGAAGAATGCCTTTATTGAAAAAATTTTAAAGAAAACTGGCTTATATATGCTTTACACACATAGAAACCATAAAACGTTACATGCAGCCAACCCATTTACCAGAAGTTAAAGCCCAGAAATTACCAATATTCAACTGTTTTCACTTGACCACTAACAGGCACTCAAGCCTCAAGCAAAGCATCAAGAGTGCTTTAAATATTATTTAAAGCAATGCCCTGATAGTTCTCTTTTGGATTTTGCATTGATAAAAAAAAATTCCTGATTGTGTAGTAGCTAATAAAGTCACCACAAAAAAGTTTAATATATGTTTTAAAAACTTACTTCATAAAAATACATAGAAGAAATTTGGCAAAGTTTCAAAATTTACGTTAACATTGATAAAGTTTATTTATTCCAGCTTTTTCATGAATATTTTTGCCATAAAAGAGAATCTGATATGAAATATTTGTAAATTATATGAAAAAAATATATCTAGTAATAAAAGAGTTTGTTAAAATATTAATAGTTGTACTGGCACATTGATTTTTAGAATTTCAAATAAACAATTTCAGAAAATATTGTCAAAAGAAAAATGGGTGTGATTTAATGTTTAATTTTTATCAATTGAGTTTGTAATCATGTGAGATTACTAGTCCCAATATCTCAAATAATAGAGGTTCTACCGTATTTTCCTTTTTAAGATATTATTATTTAAGTCAATTAACATAAGAAATCTAACTTTCTAAAAACTTTCAATTAAGCTAAAAGTCAAAAAATAAAATAATGCTACAGTTCAATATAAATTGAGAATTCCTCAGCAAAAACATTACATGTTCACTACATTGTGTTATTCATATCAACTGCATATTGCAAAACCGAATACAAATTGTAAGCACGAAATGTAAAATGCAATACCTTGGGATTAGCTGATACAAAATCTGGAATGAGGGAGCTGCTGACATTCAGCCACGAAGGAACTTTTGATGGATCCTGAAGAAAGGGTTTTTAAAATATTTAGTTAAATATTATATGAATACATTCAAATCATGTTTTTAATAAAATATATCATAAATGATAATTAATAATATCACATAACATCTACTGAAGCCTTTCAACTTTATTTTTGATTGAAGCATTATTTGGCATAAATGTTCTTGTCTTGCCTCACTAAATGTGCAGTTCTGCCCCAATTTTGAGGAAGAACATCCCATCGGCAGTCTGAACATGTCCCACCATTCTTTCCCTACCAACAATTTCTGAAGAGATTCACCATGTATTTAGAGTACCCCCTTGCTGCACCGGCACTATAGGCTTACAAAACATCCATGCTTCTTTGGTATTCAAACCTAGGCCCATCGGTACGGCAATCAGCCTCACTAACTAATATACCGTATAGAATTCCCAAACAAATTACAACTTTATAAAATGGAGCACATGGAGTTCAAAGATATTTTTAACAAATCAGAATATAAGAATTGTCATATATACCATGCATATCACTGATTTAGCCATACATTACTGATTTCCATGTTTCTATCTGCTTCCAGCATTTTTTTTTTCACTTACTCAATCACCTTCTACACTATGAAATGTATATAAAATTTAGTGCAGTTTGTTTCCATTTTTCCCTCTTTAAACAGTCAATCTAAAACTAGCTTTGTGAAGTACCTGTATTTAGCATAATTACTGAATTTTAGCACTATGTGCCCTGATTTAGCACTGAATTTTAGCACTATAATTTTAGCACTATGATATGATGGATAGAAGGAATACTTTTGAAGGTAAGTTTTTGTATCTTATTACTACCTGAAACTGTTTTTGTTCATACACCTGCAGGTTGGTCATACACCTGCAATTTACTGTCTATAACTATTGTGGGTATAATACAAATTACAACTTGGGCTCAGGCCAGGGTCTGTCAAAATAAATGTCAGTTATTGTTCATGGAAGTTGATTAATACAGTCCTAACACAGCATGCTTTCAGGATCACCCAATGATCACTTTTTCTGTGTGTGCAAGAGAAAAGCAGAGTCATGAGAAATTTGGAGCCCTTTAAAACATGGGCTCAAGCTTGGATATTGTGGCCTAAGTAGTAATCAGGCCACGTTGTTCGAATTTTTATTTAATAAGCTAAAAAAATATGCATACTTCTTGTGATTTGTAATAAAAGAAAACTCAAGTCAGAAAACAATTAAAGAAACTTGATAATTTTGACTAAGCTTAAATTATTTACATGGACAAAGTCATAGCAGTAAGAGTAATATGTATAGGGTAAAAAATTGGAGAATAAAATCATTTACTAAATGTACTCCATGCTTATACCACTTTTTGAATTTTACAGTAAGTAAGAAATAAAACTAAATGTAGCAAGGTACAACTCCTTAGTGTGTGTGTGTGTGTGTTACAGCAATTGCATAATGTTTAATGTGTATTGTATATTATTATTACCATCATGAACAAATAGGTACATGTTTCGGAAAATTTTTCTTCCAAGCTTTCACCAAAGAAAATTTCAAATTCAAATTATAAAATGCTTAATGAATCAATGAGATTGATTAAATATCAGCTTATAGTATTTTATATGCTTTAATTGCCATAAAAATTTTATATGCTTTAATTGCCATAATGTGAAAAGCTCTATAGGACACAGGTCCACACAAGCTCTATAGGATTCAGGTCTGATGATGGTGAATGTGCAATGGTTTCACCATCCAGATAACTCTGCACCACTCAAGCTCTACGCGGGCAGGCATTTTTGTCCGTAAATATCACATTGGTACCCACTATGGTGATAAAAAAAAAAAAAAAACACAGGAGAATGTCAAATTTTGTTGCAATATCAAACAGCTGGGACAACACCATGAAGTATCACACAGACACTAGTGCAGTCTTTCATTGTTATCCCAGCCCATACAAGTAAGTCTCCTTCTCTGTAACGGTCTTTTTTGAAGACTGTTTGGGGCTCAATAATGTGTTCCTGGCTCTCCTCATATCATTGACCTTTGGGAATCATTCTTGATGATAAATCAAGACTCACCTGTAAAAAGTACATGGCCTCACTGCTTTGGTGTCTAACTGTGATGTTTACGGGCCCAATTCAGGCATACAGTTTACCTTTGTGCAGTCGATGCAACACAGTTTGGTGGGATATGGGCCATCAATCAGCAGCAAAGAAATGCAGTGCTAGTTATATTAGTGATCCATGCCATTTTGCACATAGCGATAGGAAGCAATCATCAACCATTATGATAATTCTCTGACGTAATATCAGGCATAATTCAGTAATATCAGAATGATAACATTAACAGTAGTCCCATTAAGCAGGGACTACAGTAAGAATAAATTTTAAGGCATGATCACAAAACAAGAATTACTAATTAAACAGCAGTTGGGGGGATGACTGCTGAACAAGTTGTGTAAGCAACTGCTTTAAAATATAGTTGTAATGGTGTTATCTTTATTACTGATAACTTGCAAACATTTTAAACTTATCGTATACATAATTAAGTTATCATTCATATAGTTTTTACTTAATTCTTAAATAAAAATTCAAGTTCAAAATATTCAAGAATTTATTTTCAGAAAGATATAATACTTTGCTTATTTTTATCATATCCAGTTCTGTTTGCAACCTCTCAAGTGTTTCATCATCAAAACCTCGAGCTTTTGTTACTGTACACCACTTGCCAGTCAATTTATTGAGACATCCCATCAAAAATATAGACATGAGACCACCTGGAATATCGAGAAGTGTTAAAAAAGCAAAAAGAAGAAGCAAACAATTACATAATTAAATCCAACAACAAATTGGTACCTCATCAGCATTTAGTAATCATAGCAAGATATTTTCTCTTATATTATTGCTGCTTTAAGTAAATAACATAAAAGTATATTATTATATTTAACTGCATCTCAAAATAGTTTAACAAAGCAGTCTTTTAAAAATGTGTTATTAATATGCAAATTATAATATAATTTTATATTACCATTCTGTCCAGTGCCATAGTATGCTCCCAGAACAACCAAATCAGCACTATCAATCATGCCAGCTTCTTCTGAATAATCCTTTTTAATTTTTAACCAGTGTCTTTTCCCAGGTTCATAAACACCCTAAAAAAAGAACAAAAGCACTTTTTGAGCACTGCATAGCACAAGAGAGTTATACACCTAAGAGGAAGGATGCTTCTGCCAGGGGACTTTCCAAAAGGAACTGTCTTGTATACACATTACACATGGGAAACATCCTGAAAAGAAAAAAAAGAAAAATGCAAACAACCCATAGAACCATTGGGTCAAATGACCTGTATTCAGTGATCTTAACCACATGGCCAATAATAGGCCAACAGCAGATGAGTTCTCTGTTGTATGACAGTGCTCATATTTAGTTTCATAATTTTTTTTAATTATTATTTGAGATGGTTTAAATTTACCAGGCTATGGTGTGTTACTTTAGAATAAGCACTTCAAGGCTATTTCTGCCTCTCTACCAAACTATGATTAATAACTACTGTGCAGTCAGAGCAAACAACTGCTGTGAAAACAAAATATGATATGAACATCAAATTACTTCCTTTTACAGCCCATTAAATTATACACATTTTTTGATGCACTTAATTTATTTCCTCGAATGTTTCTAACTTAATTAACTGATTCTTCAGGGCATGGTCAAACTGACATCAAAAGCTGCAAATTTTGAAATTAAATATCCTGCTCAACTTTTGTCCTAAGGAAGTCAAACTTTTTTATAAGTTTATTTTTTTATAACGAGTACAAAACTTTCCCAAATACAGAGACCAGGAAACCGTATTAAAAATTTAATTTTCATTATTTGTTGAAAATCCATTTTTTAAACTTGAAATTAACAAAATATGAAAATTTTCATCATTTAAACACTTCTCTAAATGGAAGTATATGTCTATGCCCAGCGACTGCAAAAATTAAGACTGGGTAAAGACTTTTATGCCAGGTAAGAGGTGTGTGAGTAGGTGGGTGAGTGCATGTGCAGTTATATACATTTGATTCTGCTGATAGCAATAAAAAAGGGAGGTGCACCACTACAGCATTCCCATATACAAAATTTCAATGTTCTATGGCGAATCATTTCTTAGTTATGCGAGACACATACATACGTACTTATGTAAAAACATCATGAAAAAAAAATCCACTTTGGATAAAATGGTCCTTATTTTGTCTGTATGTACAGACATATGCAAACAAAATTGTCCAAATGGATTAGGAAATGGTCAAAATGGATATTTCAGTTGAACTATGATTAACGAAATTGTTTTGCAATTGCAGTACTTCTTTTACTTTATACAAGAAAAGTATTGTAATCACAAAAAAACGAGGTATACTCCACACTTCACAAAAGGAAGTAAAAAGTCTTCTAATTTACTACAATCCTTTAATTTCTTCTGTGTGTTGATGATGACACATTACAGTCATAAATGACAGGAGGCTTGTTATGATCTTGAAGTACCTATTTTAAAGTAACAGACTATAACACTTCTTTTTCCTACCTCCCAACAACCAACTCATACAACCATTGGGTCAAAAGTGAGTTTCCAGTGAATAAGCATGAATTAGGGTCCCTACAGCAGATTTTTATTATTTTTACAATGATGTCTGTGTGCATGTGCATGATGATTATTTTGTCTATGATAACTCTTATGTCAAACTTCCAAAAATTTCTACTTTTCATGTTAAAGGTTTCTACAATCATATAAAGAGTTGGCTAAATTTTGAAAAACTGGACAACCAGAAGTGGTACTTTAATAAAGAAATTTTAGAAATTTAGCACAGACTTTTCAAATTTGAAGTGTTAAGTTGTTTTATATTTATATTACACTACTATGCACTGCTTTATATTTATACTAGCAGCTACGCGGTCAGCCTTCGTCTGGCTTTTAAATGTACCGGAAAAAATGCCTGATTGGATCACCAAGCGTTGAATTTAAAAACTGCAGAGAATTTTACTCCGCAAAAAACACAACTTCATTAAAAAAAATAAATAAATAAATAAATAAAAATAAAAATAAAAATAAAAAAATATATTACACATAACAAAATTACAATGAATTAAGAAATATCTCTTAATACAAATATTAATTATCCCAATAAATAAATTAACCAACTTCCATTGCCTTCTATCAACAAACGTCCTGTATCCAAGAGAAATATTAAATTTAAAAACCGCACAGAATTATCGCCCTCATTTTTCCAAGTGGCAACGGTGCTGATTTTCAACAGTCAGCATTCCAGTATACAATTCAATGAAAAACTGTTGCTAAATCCACACTTCTAAAAGAATGAAACTATTTAAAATGATGCAATAAAATCGAAAAGATAAAATTTTAAAAAAATCTGATTCAAATTTTGAAAAAATCGCTTCGAGGTGCACTGGCTCTTGTCCAGATGCACCTATATACCAAATTTCATAGCCCTGGTCTATTAACTTACAAGCAGCATGAACGAAAGACATACACACTCTTCCTTTTATAAAACTTTGTAGAGATTACGCTTATGTGACTTGACAAGTATTTCTACTACACAAAATAACTAATATACTGCCTCACACTAATGACTAAATCGATGATAACCAATGGCCTTGACAGTTACCAATGTCTTTTCCTTTAATTTTATTTCAATAACCTATTTCAGTGTATTGCACCACTGCACACTGAAGACTCATGATTTCACAATACCGACCATGCAAATATAGGCTACCACAGATTGAAATCTTTACCAGAAGCCTATGTCCTTAACTGGTCTAATACTAAGTTAATGTTCTTAGCAGATATTCTTAAAATGCTCTTAGCAAAGTTTTATTATTATTATTATAATAGAGCATTGCACTATATTTACTGTTCTTTCATAAGCCACTGCCAAGTGTTTCCATTCTGTGAAGCATATCTTTGATTTACCTTCCACTTTTTTCTTCTTCATCAGCTCAACAGCCCAGGGTGGGTCCTAGCCTTCTCCAGAAGTCTTCTCCACAGGTTCCCATGGGCTTTGCCAGAGAGATTTTCTTACAATACCAATCTTCATGCATTCTGGCCAAATAACCAGCCCATTAAAAACTCTTTGGTTTTACCTCCCACTCAGTGACACAAAAAAGGCAATTTTCAGAATGCTACCTCTTGGCAAGATGTAATTTTTTTTATATATATATTTATATATTTCCATTCAAAAGGAGGGACGTTAGCCCAAAAGGGTTATTAGTCTTGAAATGACCTTTTGCATTCAATCACTTAAATGTGACGTATCACTTTTCAAATTGTTCCCACCAAATATTATCGCCCTATATCATATTTAAAGAAACTAAATTATGAAGAATTTATACGAATGTATGTATGTTTCTCGCACTGTGAAAAAGCAATGATACTTACAGTCATCAAATATTGAATAACATAGTCCTCCACCCAAATATAGGCATCTGGAAAACAGAATTTGGAATTTTGAATTTCTAATATTGTCTATTTCATATTCTGAAAAACTTTTTGTTTAAAAAAACTCAACACTTTCAAAGTGAGCAACGTCAATGCTGAAGGGAATAAAACATTTTATTTCCAAAGTGCACACTATACTGAGATGCTCTGCAACAAACAACACGCAAACATCATCAAAGTTACTTTACAGATACCACATCTCCTTAGGTGTTTTTTTCTTAATGCGGCGATAGTTGCCACATGTGTATCAAAGCACCAACTGTAGTAGCTTGTTTACCTTGCATCAGCAATAGCATCATTGCAAATGATGGGAAGAATGAACATCAAACTAGTAATGTTTCATCCTAGATTTTCAGCTATTTTCACATGGAAGTACAGATAACCATGTATCACGCAAATTAGTGTCTGATGCTGAATTTATGAAATTCGCTAACTTTTTTTTAAGCAAAAAAAAATCACCATGCACATGAAGAGAACAATGGTTTCATTCTCCCCATGCATACAGTGATCTGTTTTTAATTAAAAAATTATCAGATCATTATATAAATTTGGCATTGTGCCCAACCTTGCCACTGCACACACGAAAAAATATTGTTGCGTGCGTACGGATTCGTTATGAAATGAATGCACAAGTCCGATGAAAAATGAATAAAAATTTATTATTATTACAACAAAAAATGCTTAAATTTTCTCAAATTATCATGCAGTATTACAATATCTCACAGTAGTTATCTTTTAACTACTCAAATGTACAATAGAACGTAATTCAAAACAGCTAAAGAATGCTAATCCGCGAATTCGCTATAATCAACAACAGCAGTTTTCTAAACAAAACAAACTAAGCAACTACTACAAACTGAGATGTTTTCCTCCTTTTATAAGATTTTAATAAATTCGTAACACTGCCCCCTTCCCAAGGACTGCACGTCCCGGGCAGTACAATCCCTGGACAGTAAGCTAAATTTACAACTGTGGCATAAATGCATTAATAAGCATTACATTACAATAATAAACAACATGAACAATAAATGCAATACATAAAACAAATCAAATGCTATCAAATACAAATCAAATACTAAATGCAAATCAAATACTAAATACAAATCAAATCAAAGACACATTTAAAAAAAAAATGGGACCATGGTCTTATATTTTACAATTATTTACATTATGTACTATGGCCATAGTAATGAGCTAACCTGTCGTAATGAACGACTTTAGGTTTAGAGTTCGAAGACTTACGAATCCGAACCACGACGTCATTCTGCCTGTTTAGGACTGTGTACGGCCCATCCCAAGGTGACTGTAATTTCGGACAAAGTCCTTTCCGTCGAGTCGGATTCCACAACCACACCTTGTCTCCTTCGTGGAATTGATGTTCAGTAGCTCTTGTGTCATATCGGGTCTTCATCTTCTCCGTCGCCAAGTTGACTCGCTCTCGTGCAAAATTGTGCATCACTTCAAACCGGGCCTGGAGATCTTGAATATATTCCTCAGACGATGAAGGAGCATCCGGAGGGCGGCCAACAATAGATCACAAGGCAGACGAAGGTCACGACCGAAGAGCATCTGTGATGGAGAATAGCCGGTAGTCTCGTGGACAGCACTGCGGTAAGCCAGTAAAAAGAGTGGTAATTTCTTTGTCCCAGTCCTGTTGGTTTC